TTAAAATGGGGAAAAGATTCGACCCACATTGTGATGATAAACAGCTCTGTGGATCTTATACTACATGATAAGTGATACCATTTCCTCAACTGTAGTTGTATCAATATTATTTCTTATTTTTTTTGGAGCATATTTTTGTATTACAATAGATGTAGATACACTCCAATAATAATGTGATTAAACTATAATAAATAAATTAAGTACAATATTACCTTATTATGTATTTAAACGTGCCTAGCCCTATAATGTTTAGACCTGTGCGCCGAATTGACGGCGGCGGTTTTTTTAAATTTTTTTATCGGCGTTCGGCGGCGGCGCGATATTTATTAAAAAAATTTTTTTTAATAAATTTAATTTATAAATCAATGTATTACATTTTTTTATAATTTAGCGCTCTTTTCTAACACATTGTTAACATAGTTTATTTCTTAAATTATTTCCTGTCTCATTTCAATTTAAATTCATGTATTTTCTCATTCTCAGAAATAGACTAAGGAATTGCATTTTCACTCAGATCAGAGTCACATAAACAACACATATTAGTAATATTCTATTGATTTTTATTATAACAAATATATATTTGGAATGCAAACAAAATATTAAGTAAGAAATATAATAAATCAGAATTCAGATTTAGCTAAATTATAATTATCATGAATAAATAGAATTTTATCAAGATTGGTGGGACATAAAGAAGTCCTTTTTGCATTGAGTATAAATCCAGCAATGGAAAAAATTCTTTCCCTGGGTGTACTGGTTGCAGGTATACAAAGAACCTTCCTAGCTAAATTAGCAAGCCTAGGAAGTTCCAGTTGCTTTTTCATCCAAAAGGTTAATGCATCTTTTTCTGGGATATTATTTTGGCTTAGCAAAATATGGCATTTTTGTTCTAAATTACTTATATTGTTATAATCACTGCCTGGAATGGAATGTTTACGAGCTATTTTGGCGATATAAGAACTGGAAGTCTCCCCATTATCTTCAACTTGGATTTCACTTTGTGCATTTTTATCATTTTCTAAAAGTTTTAAATGTCTTGTTAAAAATTGCAATGATGTAGTAGAATTTAAATATCCTGACACAATTTTCAGATTTTGAAATCTGGGATCAAGGAGAGTCGCTAATATCTAATGTTCAAAATATAATTTTATTAATAAAAATATAAAATAACTTGAAGTTCAGTAATGGGAAACCTATGGTCAAGCTTTTTTTGCATATTTTCTTTTAAACAAATAATATCTGAGGAATCACATATATTGATCTGTATGTGGGTTTCTATTTCACTCCGAAATAATAACCCTAGATTTATAGTCGATCCCTTTTGGGAGGAAAGAAATTCCACCGACTCTCGGAATGGAATTAATACGGCAAAGCTCGTCAATCATATCCCATTCATTATTAAAAAGTTTTAAACATTGTTTTCCTATTTTATTCAAAACATTATTAATAGGATTTTTGTTCACGCTACGAACACTTTCTAGCATAATTAATATGCTGTGCCAGCGGGTAGGACAATTTAATTTTAACGTTTTTTATTATATAGATTGGTTGGTGTAATAACATTTCTATTATCTGCTTCGTTATCAAAATGGTCATCAAGGTATGGATCAGAATCATCAATATCCAAGATATGACCTGTCTCATAAATTGACTGGAGACATTTACGATGCTCATCTTCAATTTCACATTCCAAATCAGCTACTCGATATCTGAGGGCTGAAATAATTTCTCTAATTTTTTTAAGGAGATTATCAATTCTGGCAACCTTTTTTATGCCATCAACTGTAACCAAATTATGTAGTCCATGGCCTATGATGCTCATAATCCCCCAATCTGACGCTTCTTTTGACATTTGCCCCTGCATCAGTTACCATTTGTATTATTTTGGCTTTTAAATGAAACTCCTCTTCGATACCTTCAATCTCCGATAATATGGTTTCCCCAGTATGCTTTTGAGTCACATTTCGGGTTGCCAGGGTAAAATATTTTAAATCAAAATTTTCATCTAAATGATGAAGACTAAATGTAATATAATTTCGCCGCTTGAAATGATCGGTCCATAAATCAAAAGTAATGGAACAGAATTTTGGACCAGCATCAATCAGGTTTAAAACATGTGCCTTTATAGAACAATAAACATCATCAAGTGCTCCCCGACTAATAGTTGTCCTATTAGGCAATTCTGATGAGGAATCAATTATCTTATATTTCTATTTTTTTAGGCAATTTATTTTTTAATAATCATTTTATTTAAATTTTAAACCTTTAGAAAATCTGTCATCCCATTATTGCTTATAGAATCAAATGGCAATAAATCTAAGCAGCACATCAAAACATAATTTCGCCCTATTAGAAAAAAGATATTTAAAAAAGAGAAACAAATAAAAAATTTGATTTAGTTTTGAACTTTCAAAATAAAGTTTTACATAATTTAATAAAATATATTTTTAGTTTATTCATTAAAAAGATCTCAAAATAGAGCTGACAATAAACAAACTAAAAATTTAGTTGTTTTAAAGTTTTACATAATTATTTTAATAAATTATATATTAAGTTTGTACATTAAAAAGTTCTCAAAATAAGAGCTGACAAAACAAACTAAAAAATTTAGTTGTTTTGAACAAATAGATCTTAATAAAATTAATTTAACAAACCAGTTAAAAATTTAAAATGAATATTAATAAACATTAATACTAACCTAAGAGCCATTTTTTATCTTTTATATTCTTGCTACATGTTGGCGTTGGCTTTAGAAACATTTTTAGAGTTTGAATGGATTTATTATTATTAGTTTTTTCTGATATTTTATGCACATTAGTGACGAGAAAGGTTACTCGTACTTATATTTTTGCTATAACATTTGATATCATAACTAAAATATAAATTATATATATATATAAGTCTAAAATTAAAATAAATTACTGTGAAAATGGATTATTTTTATCCGAATCTTCCTCATCTTTTTTCCCCAATTTTAAACAAGGTTCACAATAAATATAATCAGGCATTATCGTGCTTTTCTTATTCTCATTCTTCAAAATAAGATTTCCAAAGTACTTCCACACATAACTTGATTTTTGAATAGTAGAGAGAGTTGTTATTTCATAATTGTATATAGGGTAGTTTAAAACGCGCAAATCCATAAAAATAATTAATATAGCCGAAATGAATATGGTGTATGAATAAATGTAAATGATATACACTATTCTATTATATAAAGCAATAGAATACAATTCATGTTTTATTATATTAATGTTAATATTCAAATTTAAATAATAATAATTTAATATATAAATATAATTAAACAACATTCTAAATATTATACACGCCGCGCCGCCGCCTTAAGAAAAATCGACGGCTAGCCGGCTCACGCCGCTGATCTCAATCGGCGGCTGTTCCGGCCTGAATAAAATTGCCGGCGTGAGCAGACGGCGCACAGGTCTAATAATGTTATACACAAACAAACATGAAAATGATAAAATATAGAATGTTGTGAATTATTATTGGATAAAAACGAAACATATGACTAAGGTAAGGAAATAGAAAGAAATTTACAAACTAGACATGTTTTTTGAATAAATATTTAAAATTTATTTTAAAAAATATAAAAATAATCAATTACTATTTCTCAAAATTATTATTTATATATTAAAAACGTTAAAATGCTATAAAAAATTGTGCGGGAGAATTTAATAGTTTGGCGGGTGTAAGATGTCAGCGTGTAATAAAATTGCCGGACTATCCCGCTGATGGGGGGGGGAACCTGGCAACCCTGACTACTAATGTGTGTATGTCATAAAATGCATAATCTATCTCTCTAAAAATAGAGATCTTTTTCTTTCGGCCATCGATTTTCATATTAACGTCAGAATAAAAGATATAAACTATTTATATTTCTAGATATGATTAATGCTAGCTGGCTATATATACATCATTATAATTAGTTGTTTTAAATTATTTCCTGTCTTAGGCAAAGGACATATTAGAGCTCTTTTAGCGTATGAAATGGTGAACAGTTAGTTTGGTATTCATAAAAAAAACAATTAAAACTATAAATATAAGTTATACAGGAACGGTCTTAGACTGGACCGATTGGAAATCGGTCTTATTATTGAGGATCGCAGTCCGGATCGGTCTTTTATTAATATTTAAGTTTGCCTTACTAATTCATATAATTTTTTTTTGTGCATATTTTATTTTACATTACTTTTTCTAAAGGAGTTACTTTACTTGTGATTATTTTTCATTTTTAATTCATTTTTATTTAGTAATATAATATATAATGAAAACGAAAAGTTTGTCAAAAAAGCATTTTACTTTTAAATTAAATATTTATATTGTTTCTTATAATTAGATTTGATATTGCTAACATAAAATACTTTTATAAATTAGGTAAAAAGACAGAAAGAATCTTTCTCTCTTTTTTTCTAATGTACACAAGATCGAAATCGAATATCCAAATTTTGAAAACGTTATTTTACAACGTTCGATTTTTGGCTTCATATTTTTTAACATTTATGCACTCGGACACCAGAACGCGTTATTATCTAGTCTTATGTATTTAACATCCACAACATCACTCAGCAAAATCATTAACTTAAACCATAGTAACTGCTATTGCTATATATCAGGGTGCGGAGATTGAAATCAATTTGATTTAAATCTAGGGAATTTTTTATAAAACTAAATTAAGATTAAAATTTTGGTAAACATTTAATGCGAAAATTTTCATAAATTCATAACCAAAAATTATAAATCATATATTAATACATAAATTTATTTTAAATCATTGGTTATATAATATCCAACTTGGAATGTTTAATTTGATCATAAAATTCTATCTTTAAAAAAATATTTAAATTGAAAAAGTTTTTTTTAAAAAAGTCATTGATTTTAATGGGTGTAAATAGTGCCGAGTCTTTATGTTTCTAATATTTAATAATAATGATGACAATTTTAAAAAGGCAAACTTGCAATAAAAAAACTTTTGTATCCACTAGGTATTTGCCGTCATCGTAATGGGCTGCATAGGTTCACAAGGCTGGTACCAAGGCCGCTGTCAATACAACGGGGAAGCCTCAGCATGCCGCTTCGGTACCTTTGTAGGTACAATGGCGATGCTAGCTTGTCTTGTTTTCCTCTTGGCCGATGCAAGATTCGACTCATTAGTCAGCGTGGTGGATAGGAAACGGGTCGTAATTGCTGATCTAGGATTTTCCGGTAATTCTGGACGGGTGGAGTAAAATAACGAATTATGTTGGAATGGACAAAATTTAACTTAATTTGGTGGAGTAAGTTAACCGACATAAGATTTTATGATCATTTGCTATGATTTTTTTTTAAAGTTTCTTCTGGGGGGGGGGGGGGTATTTAGAAAGCTGATTATAAATACTTATAAAGGATAATATCAATTAATATAACCCATCTTTTAAATTTTTTATTTTAAAAATCGTATATCTTTTTCCTTTAAATAAATTTAAAAATATATATTATAAGCAAAGTAAATGATTACCTTTATTTTTGAATACATTTTGTGATTAAATTAATGCTCATATTTTGAAGAGATTTTTTTAAAGTTATTTCCGTCAGGATCATTGGAGATCCATTTTCTAATCATTTCACCATTTTTGAGATTATCGTAATGCGATGAATAAAGGCGATTATGAATAAAATTATCCTGTCAGTAGATCAAATAATTTTTTCGTTATTTTTTTTGGTGAGATGAGCGATAAGAAAGATGCTTTTAATTATTTTTATAAAATGTCGAAGAAAATCATAAAGTATTATCTTTTTCCAAATTATCTTAAAAAATTACCTGAACAGGATTGTGGACATTTATTTGGCTCATTTGCTTTTGCCATCTGTCCAATCTATGGCGCAAGACTCCCCATTCCATGCTACCCCCTCAAAAATTTGGGAGGAACAATGTCCAAGCCGCTATCACCTTTTCACTATTTTCGACGTTTTCATGGGTATTAAAAACAAATATACCCTTATAGCTCTCTCTCTTAATTAGCCACAATGAAGAGTGCTTTTTTTATATTAAGATTATATATTATTTTCACATTTTTTTGATATGTAAGAGGCGGATGTTAATGGAATTAGCGGAATTACTAAACTGATCAAGTTAAAAATGATAGTAAATTATTTGAATAAAATTCTATAAATAAATAAAATCCATATAATGCTATGTTGCTAGATATAACCTTTTCGCAAATTTTTCCATAGGAAAATACTTTTAAAGGTTTTTTTTAAAACATTTACATATTACGCATATTAGGTAAGATAAGATTTAAAGAATTATTGCACCTAAATAAAAAAAAATTTTAAAATGTCAAAAACTTGAAATTTTTCTTCTATATATCGTTTATAGGAATCCGAACCCACCTTAAACTGGTATTAACCGTTATTTATAGAATCTGAACCTGTTAAAAAAATTTAATCCAAATCTCTAAAAAGGTGTGTGAACCGATTTTAACCTTATGATATCCTAACATTAAAGATGATTAATAATCAATTTTTTGATAAGCATCAGTTAGTATCATTAAACCGTTCTATTTGAACCGATTTTTTAAGATGGCTAACTCAATATTTTAGCCAAAAAGATTGCCTAAGATTTGAAATTTCGCTAATAAAGGTGTGAATTCAGGCCTGCATAATATTTTTCTGGATAAAATATTAGGTTAGACGTCCGTCTACTAATCAGCACTTATTTGATATTTTTGTATTTAATATTTGGCGCAAGCTTCCCTAGTTAGCGCATAGAAATGTTCCCAACTACAGAATTTTTTTTCTTCTTTAACCTATATGATATAAGAGAATTCTCAATTTTATTTTGGGAAGAGTTATAAAATTTTAAAGATTGCTTTTCTCTTTATATAATTCTAAATGATAAAAGGTTTGAACTGGTTTTTAAAGATTCAAACCGAATTAATGTTTTTATTTCTTACGGACCTGAATCATAAACCGATCTTGGGTTCATAATTTTTCATTTTTTTGGAAAATATTTTGCGAAATGAATTTAGAAATATTGATTCTAAACCAAGATAATAATTAAAATTCGAGCCGTTGTTTCATGAATACATTTTATTAATTTATTCATGCGTTTTCTTAAAATATAAGATGGGGGGGGGGGGGCAATTTCATATTTTTTTAAATATAAAATCGATATATATTAATATTTCTCGTTCGCATATAATTATATAACTGTAACATATTATTTGTTGACACGGTAAAATCGAACAAAAACTATCTCGAAATGTGATATATGATGGTATTTTCGTTTATTCTTATACACTAACACAATTCTTTTTTTTATCATTCTAATTGTTAAACTTTAAAAAATTGTTATAGAATTGAATTCATTTCTTTTATTTCTCTCAAACTAACTTGGACGAGGTAATGGTATGGCTAAAAAGCAACATTTGGGTTAGTCAATAAATTGCTCTATGCTATCCGACAAAGTGTATTATCAGCCTTAAATACATTAGAATATTCTTTTTTTTTGACTAGAGTAACAGTGCAAAGTTATACCAGGCTAACCCTTGATAAGAAAGAATCTCCTTTTCCATTAAAAAAATATTTGCTATACTATTTTCTTATAATAAACAGTATTATATTGAAACATTTGACTAATATTTGAAAAGGTCATCGTAATTAAATCTGGCATAAGGGGAAGTATTTTCTATTCCTATATTCAACCTAACAGACACAGACATGATTGCGTTTATAAATTCTACAATAATTTACCAACGGTATACCTGCTCTGCCATCCGATATTGCGTTAATTTATTGTCCTAAAGGCACTTCCACTTTTTTACGATAGCTAATTTATATCACAAAACTTCAAATATTAATAAGAAATCATGGATTTTTTTAAAATATCTCTATTTACAAATCAGGCTTGCTTAACATTCCTTTCCTACCGGCGATACAAAATAGGTGCTTCCCAAGCTTTCGCGCCTCCTTATAACGCCCAAGAAAGTGGTACGATAGGATCCGAGGCCGGTTCAGGGTTGAGCCACCCGCCTTTCAATCAAATGGCGTCACCTTTCCCTCCCCCTCCCATTCAGACCCAATACCCACCACCTGTATATTAAATCCATTAGCAACTTTTGCTTTAATTATTCATATATATTGAAATATTTTATTAAATTTCACAATATAAATCGTATTCTTTATCCCAACTTTATAATCTACCAAAAAAATAATATTCATTTTTTCGCTTTTTTTACCTAAAAAATATAAAGATAATACACTATACCGTTTTACCTAAAATATGTTTTCTATTCAATAATTTTTTGTTTTATATTTCCCTTTCCTGCAAAAGTGTATTAAATATTAGAATTTCTTAATTTATATTAATATATTAAAATATTTGAATAATTTTTATAAGTAGTTCTATTGTGGTGTCCTTATTATATGATTTGTCAAACCCGTTAAATATTCTTTAAGAGATTATTATTTTTTAGACATCAAAAATAGATTACCACTAATTATTATTTATTACCGTTGTTTGAGTTTATATCGAATCATAACCCTAAAAAGTTGTAAATATAAAAAACATAATTTCTTGGAAAATAGGAGATGCAAAGCTGTAGTCATATCCAATAATAACCTGTCAACTTAAATATTCTATAGTTAATGTCATTTATCTTTATTATGTTCATGTCCATAAGTTCCAAAAATAAATTTATTCTCTTTTTTTGTTCTAATTTACGCTCTAAAATTATTACCTTTTTTAAAAAAAGCATTCCTTATAAATGCGCAAAACTTTACATTTCCCCAATATCAATAAATATGATCGCTATATATTTGATAATATAAAATAAATTATATATTTTATTCATTTTTCAATTTTACAGAAAAAACAACTGATATTTATTATGGTTAAAATAATATAGAAAAATAATTCTAGGGTTCACTATATGTTCCTTCTATAGAATCCTTTATTCCAACCATGAAATAATAGAAATTTTTTCCATGGCCTTTCTAAATTTTAATCTCTTACATTACAATATTTTTTATAATTAAATTTAAAAATTCAAAATAAATAAATATTTATTTAAAATGATCCTTCATTAATTCGACTAAGCTATTTCAGATATCTAATAAAATATGAATAACCTAAAATGGCTACTAATTATAAAAATAACTTATCCGATTTCAGAAATTTTATGACATAGGAGCTAATTTCAACTAAAAATACCAGCAACTTCATCTCTAACTAATTTAAAATAGTTCATAAAAAAATATATTTAAAATTATTTTTATAAAGCACTTTATATTTTATATCGATTAATATAATATTTTTCGTACAATTTATCAATATTTACAATAATTCATTTTGATATTCAATAAATTTTTAGACCCAAGACATTTTTTTTCTATGAACCAGTTTAGATGTCCTCTCTTCCATTTCCAACATATCATCAGCGAATAAAACTTTCAAAGGTGGGATCAAATGGGGTAAGATAGACAGTTCGTTAAATTTTACCTGTAAAATATTTTTTTAAATAAAAATTTAGCAAAAATAAAAGGACCTGCAGATCTCCTGTATGGGTTAAAAAAAGGTTAATAGGTCCGGGTTAAATTGTACCGGGCCTGAATGTATCTATAATAGATAAGAGTTGTTAGCTGAAATAAGAATTTAGGTATGGAGGAAGGCCAAATCGATTATATTTGGGAAAATGGTTGGTCAATTTCTTATTTAATAATTTAATTCTTTTTAAAAAAGGTCTTTAAATTATATTACAAACCTTCATATTATCGAAGGCTATTCCCACGTTTTTAAGTTGTCGTTCTTGGTTGACAACTGATCCATCGGTGCTATCCTGAACTTCGCTCGATGTACCGTAAAGGGGCATTTTGGAATATCTTTGACTAAAATGAGTCAACAGGATAAATTTTGCCTTCATTTTGTGACCGGTATCAATAGCCTGTGATATGGTACTAATTTTCAACAAATATGTTGTTAATAAAATATCCAGAAGAAAAATTTTCTTGATCCCCCCAAAATATTGAAATCAATTATGTTACTCTTTTATAAGTTCGTTGACTTGTTTATAATTATAGTGATTGTTTTAGATATTTAAAATTAACCAATAGATTTAGCAGATTCCTTAAAAAAAGCTGGAGTATTTAACCATAATTTCAAAAATTATTTAACTAAATTTTTACGCAAGGAATATGCACACAAAATATTGTAATAATCGCACATAAAATAAATTTTATTCATATTTTTTTTAGAAGATTTAATACTATAAATTAATTTTTGTTTGAAAATCAAGGTTCTACATTAAACGAATACAGGTTCAGGTAAAAATAATGGTTTAAGGTTCAGGCTCGGTTCGCAAAAAATATCAGTTCAGTTCGAACCTCTAAAACCCGGTTCGAACACTTTTATACTCAAACCTACATTTCGAATTATGTATAGGGAAGAATTTTTTTTATTTCATAATTAAAATAAAAAACACATACATAAAACCTTCATTTTTATTAATTGCATATTATAAACTAATATTTAATTTATAAATATAACAAATAAATAATTTTTTTTATTAAGCTGCACAATTAATATATTTTCAAAATTCGTCTCACCCAAATTACATCTATAAGGAGATAATATAAATTTAATTGTTGAAAAACATCTTTCCACACTAATTTGGGTAATGTCATTTATAATATATGTAAATAAAATAATTTATATATTGTATTTAATTTTTCTCTAGGCATTATAATTTATAAGCCTGAAATATTTAAAAAATGTAAAATAGCAATAAACTAAATTTTATAAAAATTATGAATGACACTTATCAATCAAATGTATTTATAATAATCTTTAAAACAATTCAAATATAAATTAAAATTTTTGCAATATACTAGTAATAACTTACACATTATTTTATAAGCATAAAATTATGAGACTCGAACTGATTCAGAGGTTTAGATGTTTTAGGTTTGGCTAGATTTTTTTTAGCGGTTTAGGTTTGATAAAAAATACCGGTTTTAGCGGTTTGGATCCCTGGCACAAGCATAGATTAAAAATCCTTGAATTTAATTCTTTAAGTTCGATAAAATATTTTTAGAAGTTTATCTGAAACCACGGTTTCTATATTAAAATAATGCTGTATTATTGGGAATGATTAAAATGTGTCTCTTAGCAGACCTATGATATTCAACACTATAAAGATTTTGTTTTACATTTTATGTTGTGTTAAAAAAAAATGAGAATAGAAAATGAATTTGTATAGATGAATGTCGCTTGGAATATTTACAGAATTATCATCACATAAATTATTGTTTGATATATTTTATAATGCCTAATTTTTTAATGAATATGTATTTTTGCCTTGTTGAATATTTTTCACATCATGTACTCCATGTCTTTTATTAAATTTTGTATTGTATATAATACAAATTGCATTTAGAACTATTTTGTTTATCTTTCTTATCCATGAATATCGAAATTCTAGGTTCTTATGTATTAATTTAAAGTTATTTGATGAACCTTTTTTAAAATCTCTGTAATTTAGACATAATTTCAATTAGTGTAATAAAAATAAAAATGTAGAAATATTAAATTAAGTAGGAGGAAATTTCATTTAATGTATATTTTTAAATATTATAAACTTGTAATATAATTTTATATAGATTGGAATTTAAAAATTTAGTTATTTCACATTCATATAATTATAATATGTAAAATATTTTTTAAAAAATAAAAAGGAGAATAATATGAAATAGCTATAAACGATGTGAACCAGGACCCTCAAAATTTTATTAACCCAAACCCGAACTTTTTTTAAAAATTTGGTTTCAGTGTTCAAGATTAGTCCAATATTTTTTACAAAATGAAAAATAAAAGAAAGAAAACCTATGCCTCTTTGTAAAGGCTTCGGTAGTCAGACTATTTTCCATGGTCGCTTCGTGAATCAATAAGTCAGCATTTTCGCCGTAATTTATCAAATTTTCGCAAGGGATGGTATCACCTGAATACACTATTTTCTTCGAATTTGTGGTTGTTATAGATGAATTTTGGAAAGTCTTATCCGTTTTATCCACCGAGATTTGGTCATTTGTCGTGAAGCTTAAGCCGTATGGACTTTTGTAATGGTAGACTGGTATAGTTAGAAACTTTTCAAGAATAAATAATTAAATTAATTTTTTTGAATATTCAAAAAAAACCTTTTCGTCAGGGTCCTTAATATTTATATATCTAATTTAAAAATTGCATTGCAATCAACTAAATATAAAATTCAAACTTAAAGTATATCATTTCAACCCTGTAAACTATAATTTTAAACTTAAATTATATATAAAAGGCTTAGGTTAATTTTATGAGGCGAATCTTTAATCATCTGACCCTTAACTAGAATTCTATTTCTATGAAAACTTGTTTTAGATTTAGGTGGGAACAGATAAGAGCGTGAAGGTATTCATCAACCATATCGGGTTGGAAGTTATGCGAGGGCATGAATCTATTTAAAAAATAGTTTTTAAATTTTTGGATGCAGAAAAAATAATATATTTAATTTCTGGTTATTCTAATTCATCATCAAATAATGAAGGAAAAAGAATCCGAGATCACTGCTATTAAAGACCAGTTATTTAAATAATTGATGCTCAAATCAATAGTTCAAAGAAGATATTTTGTTGTCACACAATATACTCCATAATATAAAATCGTATAACTTGATATCGGTCAATATGTGTTGGTGTTTATTGCTGTAGGGTCTAAGGAAGTTCATCAAGCCCTTCGGTGCTACGACCATAAGCTTAGGAATATCTTTTCCCAATTCTGAACTCAAACTTAGATCGGACTTATAGTTGACATCCGTGTCTCGAAAAGCTTGACGTCTTTCACTTTAAAGAAAATATTAAAAATTTAGATTTTTTATGAAACCAGTGGCAAAAGATTTATAACAGAAATAATATTCTATTTCTAAATGTCTTAAAATTATTTTGATAATATTTACATTTTTTTAAAAATGTTTTTATTCATTTGAGAGACGGTAACTATTAGCTTGATTTTAAAAAATCCATAGTAAGAAAAAAGACAAATATAAGCATTTCAAAATGTCATATTTAGGAATATTTCTTTGGCGTGCTAATCATTAAATAAAAGTTATCTTAAACTTGATAATTTGAACCAGGCCTAAATGGTGATCGGCGTGTAAATGGGACACGAAAACACACTTGAGAGTTCTTAACATACGATTAACGTTTTCGTCAGAGTACCTGGTGGGTAATTGAAAGTGAATACCATTTCTACTATATTATTATAAACAGTGTAAAATATGTAATATATTATAAAAAAAATTAAACCAAGCATATTTATTATTCGATTAAAGAATATAATTAAAATTATATAAATTTCTTTAAAAAAATTAAAATTTTAATTAACTGCCTAATTTGAATTTACATATAATGTTTACTATTATCAGAGACCGGCAGAGGTACCATTTGCACGGCCCTGCCCGGTCCGGATATTTTTTAAAAAAAATTTTTACGGCCCGGCCCGGATTTAAAAATTTAAGGCCCGACCTGGATATTTTTTAAAAAAATTTTTTACGGCCATGCCCGGATTTAAAAATTTCAGGCCCGGCTCGGAATTTTTTAAAATTATATTCGACCTGGTATATACAAAAATTCACCTATGAGGTATTCAACATATTTTTCAGCGAGTATTATCGCTTATTATTTAAAAAATACATGTAAAAGGCTAATATTTTGAGAATATTATATTGAATTTATAAAAATTATAAAACTGTTATTTATAAAAATGGATATTTTGAGCATATACTATATTTTATATTGCATTTATAAAAATAAAACTAATATTCATAAAAATGGTAATAATATTTTGAGCATATATATATTTTATATTGCATTTAAAAATAATAAAACTAATATTTAATTTTAAAAATGGAAAATATTTTGAGAATATAATATATTGTATTTAATTTACTATTTAATTTATAAAATAAAAATAAATCGCTATTTAAAAAATGCATGTATAATAAATAGTACTTTGAAAATAAAATCTAATTGCACAATATTAATATAATTTATTTTATAATATAAATTTTTAACAAAAGAAGATAATTGTATTATATAATATTGTAAAAAAAAATAATGAAAAATTTAGGATTAAAAACTTTCATGACTCAAGGTAAATATAATAAATGCAATAAATATTTGACAGTTTACAAAGTAAAAAACCAGTATGATTGACGAAACCCTATACTCAAGAAAGATATTAAAAATTCACAAATTATCATGAAGAAAGAGAAGCATATCTACCTTTTCAGGTTGAAGATTACTTCTTATTTCTTCAAGAATTCTCGGAGTGGAAAAATTCCGCTCACAGCTTGCACTTGAAGCAGGAATTGCCAATTTTGCTAAAATTGGGAATTCGCTTTGATGAGCCGTCCACCACTCTAACAAATTATCCACCTTAAATGTTTCATCTATTTTTTTATTTATGTAATTATAATATTCATCATCGGGTATTGACATATTACCAGAATTACCATCGCCCCATTTATCATAAAACGATTCAGTTTGTTTAACAACAGTCGTAATTTGACTGGTCGATGGTATTTCATTTACTTCCTGAGCCTCTTGTAATTTAATATAATCTTTTATATAGTTTTCCGTCATCTTGCGATCTGTCCCTGACTATATACGTAATTGCTTGAATTTGGGACAGAGAAAAAGAGAAATAAAATGATACTTGTGTAAAACAAATTTTTCAATTAAAAAATGCTTTATATTAAGTAAAATCAATTTTATTTCTCCTTTTTCGCTTTGAAAGGTATTACAAACTTCAAGAAGTGATATTCCTTTATTTGATTGTTTTGGTAAAATATATTCTAAAAATTTAGATATGAATTATAAAAAAATATATTAATACTTTGAATAAATTTGCAGGAAATTAATAATTAGATCGATCTGTGGGTGTTAGGTAGTGTTAACCATCACCCAATATTATATTAATCATAACTATAATATAATATAATCTTATAACCATTAACTCATAATGTAAAAATTTTTATAAAAAATATTAAGGCCCGGCCGGCTCGGATATATTTAAAAAAAATTTTTTTAGGCCCGGCCCGGATATGTTTAAAAAAATTTTTTTTAGGCCCGGCCCGGGTATATTTAAAAAATTTTAAATACGGCCGGGCTTAGGGCTTAGGGCCGGGCCGAGTTTAGGGCCGGGCCTGCAGGTCTCTGACTATTATATTATCCATTTCTGTCAATTTTAACTTAAAGGCAAACTCATAATCCTCGTCTACTATTTCAAGACCAGGAAAAAAGAAAAAATCGTTAGTAAAACGTTGTCTCTACCGGAAAAACAACAAATGAAGGTTAAAGAGATCGCTAAATATATTGGAATGTCTACAGCGTCATTCATAAATTTAGCAAGATACATTTCCAGAAATAAATGAAGATCCTTTAAAAAGGAATACACTATTCAAAATAGAGGAGGTAAGAAAAAAAATTCATATTAGTGAAAGAAATATCATGCTCTTATTAATGACAAATAATGTTTACGATAAAAGACAAGTCCCAAAAATAAGGCAACTATAAGAAAATATATAAAAAATATTGGCTGATAGAAAAAAAGAGCCTGACATAAGAAATAAGTCTGGGGCTATAAATATTCGTCAAATTTATTGTGTTTTAAATATTACAAAAAAAAATTATTTAGATGAATCAACGTGCATCCCATCCTCGTAGGGTAAAAATGTTAGTATTCTTTGAACAATTAGAATGGGAGGGGTAATTCATTCTAAAATTAAAGAGGGAGCTTATAATGGTGTATTATTCCGAGATTCCATGTGAAAGCTTATTTAATTTTGCCAACTCATGCATTTATTGTAATGGATAATGCATCTATTCATAAATCACATTTAATCAACTACAAAGATAGGATTAAATATCTACCGCCCTAGCTTAAACCCAAAGAAATTTTTTTTGGTGTATTCAAATAAATTCAGAGTAATCACTCCTTGACTTAATTCACGAGATGAAATTATTACCAATATTATTGAGCTCTTTAGTGGACTCATTCCATATGATTTTACGAACTTTTACAATTATATGCAACAATTTCTGGAGTTGGGTTATCGTGGACAGTCGATTAATTAGGTAATCTCTAATAATTAATTTATATTAATATTTTACATTTTTACTGTTTTATTTTCTAAATAGGTATCATCTTCGAAGTCGAAGAACATGTGGAATGGGTTTATAATATTTTGATTTTATAAAAAATTTTAATATACCAATTACATCGAAATTATTATAAAATAGAATATAACCAGAGACCTGCAGGCCCGGACCGTATTTTGATTTATTTAAATATACCCGGGCAGCGGTGGGTCTGAATTTTTCTTTATAAAAATACAGGCCTGGGTCTCAAAATTTTTTCCAAAAAAGTACGGCCGTATATTTTAAATCGCCATTAATAGAAATTAAAAATAAATAAAATATATTTTAAAAAAATCCGGGCCTGGACATGCAAATGGTATCTCTGCAGGTCTCTGATATATATATCATATTTTTATCGAAATAAATTGATATAAATTTAAAGAAAAATAATTCTAAAAATAATATTTAAAATTTCATAAAAAATATTATATTTTGTTTATAAAAAATCCCAAAAGAGTTTTTGCAAAAAATATTTGGAGTTTTAAAATGTTAATTAATTTAATTTATAAAAATAACAATAATCCTTAATTTAATTGTTTATAAAGAAAATATTTTTGTATAAAAAAAATATATATATAACAATCAATAGTAAAGGGGGAAAAAAATAAAATATAAAAAAAAGGAATGCCATGTGTGTCTAAGAGGGAAAAGGGAGTGTATCGAAAAACTTGTAATTCCCTTATGATTTCAAATTAAATTTTTTGTTTGAAGGGAAAGGACTCGTTTTTAACCCCCGTCCTTATTGAAATTTTTTTACCCAATTGATTTAAAAATTTTAGGGATTGGGGACCGGGTTTCCAAACACTAAAAATTAGAGGGATAAAAGTAAAATTATTTAAAAGGGATTTATATTCATTGCATTTTTTGATTTCTTGGAGTTCCAAGAGGTCTGAGTTTCTATTAGTGTGAAATGAGATAACACATCACACATTTAGTGTTGTTAAATAGCTGAGCCAAGCCGGCTTAGCCCTAAGCCCGTTTTTGAGCCGAAAATTCGGTTTAAGCTAAGCTGGTTAAGGAGTTGGCTCAAGCCGAAATTTATTTATTTGAGATTAGTGTTGTTAAACGGCTGAGCCAAGCTGGCTTAACCCTAAATCATCTAGTTTTTGAGTCAAAAATTGACTCAGGCTCAAGCCGGCTCAGGAGTTGGCTTAGATAAATGACAATTGTCTTGATCGTTATTTTTAAAGTTTTTGACGTAGAAACATGTTAAATGAAAATTAGATGAAGCATAAAAATTGACGTCATAATCGTTATTTTTAAAGTTTTTTAATGCAAATGGGTAAAAATATAGCATAGAAATGTGACAATACGTGGACAAATGTGATATGGGCGCATATGAGAAGCATGAATCTTACAAATATTGATGCTCAGGACCGTCAAAAATGGAAAAAAAAATCAGAGGAAAAACTGGCCTAACTGGGTAAACCTGGAAATGGCCATAAAACGGAGAAGAAGAAAAATATAATATAAATTATTGTTTAAAAAAAAATTTAAAAACAAAATTAATAAAAATATTATTGAAAACATATATGAGAGAACTAGGCTGGCATAGTACATAAATTTTAGATATTTAATATATTCTTTTAAAATATTTAAATATATAAATTTTGGCTCAAAATTAAACTCGAGCCAGCTCCTGAGCCGGCTTGAGCCAACTCAGCATTTTAACAACGTAAGACATATCCCAGACAAGTCTTTTTCCGCCGAGTCAAGACGTTAAAGACATGCCATCGGGACCCATCCTAATTTAGGAGACCTAACGGTTCCAAACTATTGGAGAAACCGGCCAAAATCAAAGATTTGCCGATCAACTTAGTTAGATTGTCATGTCGCAAAAAACGGCCAATGACTTTAAGACAAGAGAAACAATGTCCAGAAAATGGATCAACTTGTTTAATAGAGGCAGCACAGATGTCAACGGACGGGATAAGACAACCTAGCCTAAGACCAATAACTCATGGTTTAAGTCACATTTCCTTTTATCCACTCGGAATCGCATCTAGACATTCATGGCCTTTAGGATTTTTTTTACGTTTATGAGTAGTTGAAGGTTAGTTAGATCGAGACACAAACAAAATTTTTCAAATGCACATTGAAGCATGGGAACTAGAAAGCTCTTTAAATGGCTAGAAACGGGGTGTTCAGATCTTTGGAGAGTTAGAGTAATCCAAGATTGTTTGGCCGAAGTTAAAAGTGGATGATCGTTCAACTCGATTAGCGAGGAAATAGAGTCGTTAAAGGATATACGAGAAGAAAGGAGCAATTGCCATAAAATTGGGGGATGAAAATCCAAGCCTCCCTGCTAAGCAGGCAGAGGCAAATGACCAATTAAAATCAAAAACTTTAGGACTAAAAGGGATTCGATAAAATGTTTAAATTTTAATTCGAAGGATTTAAAGAGGGAATTATATTGGAAAGTCGGGGAAGATTTAAAGATGTGCAAGAATTTAGGTAAGAAAGAACATTTTTTGGTGAGAAAAAAAACTAATAATTGGGAAGATGAGGAAGATTCCTTAGCGAATTTAAAAGAGATTGAATCAGATTGTCAAAAAAATTTTGACAAAAGGAAGTTGAAAAGCCGATAGGAGAACCTAACAAAGTTCCTTGTGCGGAATGATTTTAAAATCTGGGGGAGTAAAATCCTCATTGTTGAAGTAAGATATTTTTTTCTATTTAAGAAAAGACCAATTTTCGAAGTTTCCATTTCAACGTATTCGATGGCCGACATAACATTGGGTAAAGATCCGCCAAAAGAGCCATCGTCGAGATATTATAAATTAACATCTAGTTTGAAGTCAGGCTTTTATTTTTGATAAAATCCTGAATACCTATAGTAAAGAGTATGGACCTAAGGGATTACCTTGCTGAATCCCTTCTTCAGAGGATATGGAAAATTCCCGGAATTTGAGTAACGAGGGAAATCCGTAACAGAAATTAAGGAAATTCCAATATTTGGGGAAATGTAAGAAAGAGAGTAAAAATGAGCTCCCATGAATGCTAATGAAGGCATTTCGAAAGTCTAACTTGCAGAAAACCTTATCCGCCTCAGTGTTTATTAAATTTAAATTTTTTTTATAAATTAATTTTTGTTTTAAATATATTTTACAAATAAACAATAGATATTTGTTTAAACATTATTTACCCCTTCTTTTTTACATTATATCCTTTAATCGAATAATGAATATGCTTTGTTTAAACTTTTGTTTTTAATTAATATATTATATATTTTTTTTACTAAATATTATAATAGGGCTAGAAAACACCAAAAAAATATTTTTAATCTAAAAAATTGATAGTGAAAGATTATTCCTTTGAATAATTCATAACTACAAATTAACATTCGAAATCAAAAAATATATGGTAACATTTTAATTTAATGTATCTTATTTTTATTTACTAATTTATATTTTTGTGTACCTTAAAGGAGGTTGAGAAGATGATAGGCTACCAAAAAACCTAATAATTTGACCGGCACTTCCTTCCCCACAATCCATGAGGATAGATGTGTTCAGATCCAAACCTACCCATATACAACTAACATTGCGAGTCTTATTGGGTACGGCTGAACCTGTACCCAAAAATACGAATTGAGGATAATCCATTAATAATTTCGCGTTTGGTTCCATATCTGAATCTTTAAAATAAATCAAATCACTAAATATTCATAAGGTACCCACCTAAAATCCAAGGGGGGGGGGTCAAGTTTCAGAATAACTAGTGTCGTAATACGTGACTGAAATTAAACCTGTGCGCCGCTAGCTCACGCAAGCAATTTTCTCTATGCCGGATAGTCACCAATTAAAATGAGCTACGCCGCTCGGCTGACCACCTATTTTTTATGGCACCGGCACAGCATGTTAAATTTCTAAAATGCTAATAAATAATATTTTTTAAATCTGAATATTAAGTTCAATAAAATATGAATTGGTTTTTCGGCAATACACCAAATTGAATATGAAATTTTAAAATTTGAATATCGTACTCACTGGAACAGCATATTAATTATGCTAGAAAGTATCCATGATATTCCTAATTTGCTAATTTAGTTAGGAAAGTACTTTGTAAACCTGCTACCAGTATACTTAAAATGATCTTTTCCATCGCTGGATTAATACTCTATGCTAAAAGAACCTCTTTATGTCCCACAAATCTTTAAAGATGGCAATTATAATTTAAATAAATTTGATTTCAAATTTATTTATATTTTGTTTGCAATTCCAAATTTATATATAAATTTGTCTTAATATAAATCAATAGAATATTACAGACGTTATAGTTGACCCTGAGTAAAAAGAAAATTCTTTAGTTTATTCCGGAAAATGAGAAATACATAAATTTATCTAGGAATGGAAAAGGAAATGATTTAAGAATTAATATATTAACAATCTTAGAAATAAGAGTGCACAAATAATACTAATTACAAATAAAAATAATATTTAAAATATGTAATGTCGCCAAATCCATCGCCAATTCATTAGACTGTGGCAAATCGGGGTGCTAATAAACGCCAGTAAAAATTTTAAAAAACCGTAGCTGCCGATTGAGACTTGGGCACACAGGTATATGGGTAATACAGTATTCCTATTAATAGGGGAAAAAATTTAATGAGGAGGTTTAAAAAAATGTGAGATAAGTGAACAAATTATAACCATAAAAAGCTATTATACTGTTATTGCTGAAGTTATTCATTAATTGCGAATGTTAAAGCATAAAACAAACCTCAGAAAATTTTGAAATCTTCCTGAAAAACGATAAAAATATATTAAAAATCGAAAGTGCCTTTTTTAAAATAATGAAGAAACCTTCGATTTGCTTCTTCATATGACTGATGGCTTGTGCGTAGATTAATTCGGCGTGAATCTTATTCTTATCATCATCGTTATTAATAGCCTCTCTTTCTACCCCGTTAAGAATAGTTGGTGAAGCCAATGAGTTTCCATGATCATCATTTCCAATTATTTCCCTTATATCACAGCCGTTGGATATTTTTTTAAGAAGATCTCTGGCGCCAGGGGTCTTTTTTGCGGACAGATCGCGAACGCATTCGGATATGTCAAAGCCACATTTTTCAATTGGTCTTAACACGTATTTCGACATAGTGGTCCCGTGACAGATATTTAATTGTGGAGGGAAGTGTTGGTCGAATAGTTTGACGACATCTAAAGTTTTAAATTTAAAAAAATCAATCAGTTAATATTGGGATTTGTTTCTTTCTATCAGGGATGTGAACCCTTCAGTAAAAAATAAGGATCAGGGTTCAAGAATAAATTTTTTTTTAAAAAGGTTCGGTTCTAAGGTCCGGGTTCGGAGAAGATAAAGAAATATTGGCTCAAAATAACAACATTTTTTTATTTATTTAATTATTTTTTATACTCCATTAAAAAGATACATTTTTATAAAATATTAAATAACTTTCAAATAAGTAATGGGTAATTTTAGTTTATATTATAACTCAACTTTATTTAAATTTGTTACTGCTCCATATTTTATAAATACTGCCAAAAACACAAATTTTTTTATAACTAAAACACTACCCATTTTGTTTAATTTATTGCCCAAAAAATCATAGCGTTAATATCATTTATAATAAAATATTATTAAGTATAATACAAAATCCAGGATATTTCACTTCTAAGATTGATATAAAGTAAAACAAGATAAGCAAATTCCTTTTACATTATTAGCATAAAATATCATTTATAATCAAATATTATCTATAAAATGGAAGTATAAAAACCAGAAATTTTGAAAAATAAGTAGAAAAACAAAAAAAATTTTTATTAATTTATTTTTGAGGTAAAAAAAAAATTTTTTAATATTTTTTTGAAACCTAGAAACCGTGACTTTTAAAAAGGGTTCGGGTCTGGGTTTAGCAAAAATAATGAATGTTCAGGGTATGGATGCGAGTCTGCGTTCACATGCTTTCCAACAATCAAGCATTTTTTTTAACTTATTTTTTTTCATAAAAAAATAATGGGTAGTATTTTGATTTTTATTTCTAGTTCCCATTCACCTCAATATTAGGCTGCCCCTATTAAATATCAGGAGAAAGAAAGAATGTGTCCTATTTTCCTTATACCCCAGTGCCCCCGACCCCATCCCCCCAAAAAGAGTGATGTTTTTAACTAGTAATTATAAAAAACACAGTTGAATGCTAACTTTGTTGCGGTGTATATTCGTGTTTCAATTGTTCGTTAAAAGGAAATATTCCAGCATGCACAGTGTTTAATTTGGCCTGGAATCGAAATGTATCTAAGAATGACAAATCCCCATTGTTGGATTCGTTTAAAACCATATGCGATGTTTCAGGGCCAAATCTTTTAAAAAAGGCATTTTAAAAAATTTTTTACTTGATCATTTTTTATTATAACTATAAGACTTAGGGCAAATTGAGTGTTTAGGAATAATTAACAAAAATTATGTTATAAATTATTCAGTGATTTTAAATACGACTATTAAGTAGGTGATAAATCTCTGATGTGTAAATACTTGGAATATATAAATTTTTTAAAAAAATATTTTTTTTCTCAATTTTAGGTTTGTTATCTTTTAATATTATGCTCGTGAACGCTCTGGCATGCCTTAGCCTAAGTGTGACAAGAAATTTTTAAATTCAATGTAGGTAAATATTAAGTAATAATTAGCTTGAATGGGAAGTGTAAATATAACAATAAAAATATGTCTATTTTTTCAATCAAGAAAAATATTCCAGCATCTTCAGTTACTACTGCAAGTGAGCGATTCTGGTGAATCATGCTCGTGGAATTGTCAGTCTTCTTTTAATAAATATCATATACAGTTTGGTCTAAAATTTTCATCAAAATTTATCTATAACATTATTTTATAATTAATTTCTCAGTAAGGGTAATTCCATGACAAATCACCCAGTGATTAGGACGACCATTTTATAAATGGATGAAACTTGGTATGAAGGTTAGATTTTATATTTTATGCAAATAAACATTTTACTATAGCTTTAATATAACCGGAGTTATGGGCCATCAATAAGATCCTTTTCCTCTTTTAACGAATCTCATAATACTCAAATATTTTTGGCCCAAAGTAACAAATTTTATATCATTTAGTATAAAATTCGCCTCAAGAAAATGAAAAAATTATATTATAAATATCTTCCGTGTCGTTGTATTTCCGTAAAACAAAAATAAATTATTTTGAAAAGTGCCCCATTTAAAACGATAAAACTCATGAAATGTCTTTATTGACAATATATTCAAATATTTAAGTAAAAATATTAATAGAGAAAATAAGGATTTAAATTTTATTTAGCTCTTCTTAAATTTTAGGAATTAATATAATTATAGAGGACGATCTTAAAAATATATTATAATTATTTTCAACTATAGCGCCATCTATAATAATTTTTTAAATTCCTAAAAATTATAAAAGCAAAACAAAATTCAAATCTTTATTTTCCCAATAACATTTTTACTTAATTTAAATTTGATGAGTTTCATCGTTTTAAGACATCCTTTATAATTGATTTTTTAATTCATTATAAAAAACTAAATAAAATTTATATTTTTATTTTCTCCATTAATATTTTGAAAGCTTTTAAAATGATATAAAATTTGTTATATAATCAAATCTTTTTTGAATTGTTTAAAAAAGGAAAAGGCTCTCATCGAATTTTGAAGCCCATAACTTGGGATATATTTGAACTAGAGCATTAAAATTTTGATTTGTCTAAATATACAATCCATTTAACCAACATTCCAAGTTTCATTTTAAAAAAGGTCGTCCAATAATCAAGTTATTACAGTCAATTTGTAACGGAACCTATAAGCATAGCATAGCCCCCCCCCCCATTATTCTAATTATATTATTAGTAAAATATTCATTAGCTCTCATCAGGTCTTTACCCACATATTTATAAGGGGGTAGTGGGTGAAGGGCTAACATCACATTTGCAATAAAAACAAAAGTATACACCTATTTTTTTAATATAAAATAAACTAACCCTAAACTATTATTGTCTAATCATAAACCTAGCCCATTTCCTAATATACCTGCTCAATGAATGGTTTCAGTAAAATAATTGACCCAATGTTGGAATAAGATTTTTACTGAACAAATTTTATTTTATATAATTAAATTTTTTTTTCACAAATCATGAAATACTAGTGATGCTAAAAAAATAGAAGGCGTACGTTCATTGACACAAATCGAACGCGTTCACGTTCACTTTCAAAAAAAAGACACGTGTTCATGTTCGTTCAAAAATTTTTTTAAAATTTAATTTAATATAAATAAATATCTTATATTAACACAATACATTAGCCATATTAAAAGAAATATAGTTTCATTTTGATAATATAATTACAACATAATATAATATAGCAAATAAAATGATATTTTTATTTATAAAAATTTTTCTCACTAATTTTTAATAAAAATTTTTCTCACTAATTTTTAATAAAAATTGTTTTTTAAAATTTTTATCTGATAGACAGGAACGCTTGGCAGTTAATACGGCATTAGCTATACTAAAAACGTGCTCTACAGGGTAAATGAGGGGATTGCGGTATTATACTTAATAAACAACCTTTTAACGTGTGGAATTAATTAAACACATTTATTGTTTTGTCCTTTGCTTCAAAAAATTGAGATAAGTTATCCTCCTCCAATCCATCCTCTACTTCCTCGTCAAAAAAAGGATATCTCGAAATTAACAGTTATTGCATATATGCATTTTTTCAATAACGCTATAAGTTTATTATAGGTTCGTTCTGTGGAAGTTTTATCCATGGCCATTGAAGCTTGAATACTGGATGTATAATTGCAGAAAAACATATTGGTCTTCATGTATATGTTCAAATCTTTAAAAAAAATAAAATATATGCAATTAATTTGATAGTGATAGGTTTAATATCTTTTATTAATCCCATTTAATACTGCGTCTATCAATGGTTGACCATATTTTAGGCCACTAATTTTTTTTAATTTTAAAATAACTAACGTTATGGGGTCAAATAGCCCAAATGCATTTTTTCTTCAAATTTAATGATATTACTTAGTTATATTATATAAAATAATTGGAACTTGAAGATTTCAAAATTGATATAATACTTTTTGGGCACATTTTACATTTGGTAAGAATTGAATTAGTTCCTTCAATATAGGATGTTACTGTAAAATATATCATATTTGAGCCATTTATTCAGAATCAGATGATGAAATAATAATATCCAATGCTAATCTATTAAATTAAAATATAAACAATAATATTCAAATTAAATAATAATGGCGTGTTAAAAAAATTGAAATGTGAAAAAGGAAAAACAGTTGATTAAAAAATATAAGCTTTTTATTTGGATTAATATTAAATTTTTCAAATAAATAAAAATAAAATTGTTTATAAAATTGAACGAATGTTAAACTAGAACGCGTTCGTCATAAAAAAGTAACGCGTTCGTCATAAAAAAGTAACGCGTTCAACGTTCATCAAGAATAAAAGGAACGCCGTTCATCATTTTTTTCAAAAAAACGAACTTCATTCTCGAACGCGTTCGTTTATAACACTATAAAATACTAATCAATCTTGAATTTTGTTAAATTATAATATTTATACTGATTAAATTTTAATTTTATAATGAAAAATGATTCTAAAAAAAGTAAAATTATTGGAAATCTATTCACATTTTATAAAAGCAATAGGAAAATATATTCGTTTAACATTAATGTAGAAGTCCGAGTCTTACCCAGCCCTAATTAAAATTTTAAAATCAAGGTCTTGCCCCACCGAGTTCAAGAGATTTCGATGTAATTTATGGCAATATAGTCCTATTAAACAACACTATAAAAGGGAAAATATCTATTAGTATAGTAATTTTCATTTTTCAAATTAAAAAATAGTAATTAACGTTACTAATACTAAAGATTTACTCATTAAAATGAAAGTGTCCATATGCATTGAAATCCGCCATTTAAATGCATTTAGACGAAATGTGAAAGGTATTTCAATGGCGTTTACTACAGATGATGACCACAGCTGACTTCGATGTATGTAAATTTTTAATAAATAACTCGTAAGTCTAGGTTAGTATTAATGGCATCGATTCTAGCGGTAAAAATTTGAAATGGTGGAGAATTAATTTTATACCTATTATCTTTAAACACAATTGGGAAGTAAACTCCTTGACACAAACGGTCGTCTTCTTGAATAGGTGAATAAATTATATATTATCGAAAAGAACTCCATAAAAAAAAGTTTTATTTCTAGTTATTTTGAATTAGAGTATTATGTTTAAAAATTAAATTATGTCTAAAAACTTTTGCATCCATCCCACGTATTCCTGAGTTAACATTATATCCACGGGAGTAAAATGAACCATGATTTTCAATAGTTTATCGATTGAATCCAGGGAATCTGTTGGTGGATTGTGCGAATAGGTAAACAAAATTACATTTATTTTTTTTAGGAATTAAGATATCATTTGCTTAATTTATTTAAGAGTTAAGCGAAGTAGTTAATAAACGCGTTTAACAGCATTATAATGAAAGCTGGTATACTACTATAAACGCCTAGCGCAACACTGGGGCTCTCATACTTAACGGCGTGTGATGGCCACATTTATTCGATTCGAACATTATAATCGAATACGAATAATAGTAACATTCGATTTAATTCGTTTTTTTAGGCCTACTGATAATATAAGATATCTAAAATACTATTCCCCGTATAACAAGTAATATTGATCTTCACAAATATTAAAACAAAGGTACAATTGGTATTCAAAAAGCTAAGAATCGCAATTGTGGAAGTAAAATATGTAGAATACTAAAATTCTTATAATCCATCATTCGGATATCTTTTTGGCCTAATTAAGAAAGTGTTTTAAACCATAAACTTTTATGAAGTTGTTTCTAAATACTGCTCCAAAATAATAATCCATAATAAAAATTACCTGGTAAAATAATAGGCAAAATAAACTATGTTTATTTTCCATGGATAGTTATAAAGCTAAAATCATTAGTGTTTGCAAAATCCGAACCTATCATATCTTGTATGGGAATAAATTAATAAAATATACTTTTGTTTGAACTTTATCTTCGAACAATTATGTCTAGAAAAAATTATTCGATTCAAAATTTACGAATACATAACAAATTAAAATTCTGTCAAATAATAAATAATTTGAAATTTTTTTGAAAATCGTATTTTTTTTAGTAAATATTAAAATTATTTGCTAATTTTTTTCAAATATTCGTAATTATTTTTATGTAAATATTACATAAATATATCATTTTATATCATATAACTATTTTTTTATTTTTTAAGGATCATATAAAATAAAAAAGTGAAATAAAAATATAATATTTCCCATTCAGGCTACTGGAAATGTTGAACTCATTGAGTACTCCAAAAACTAAATTTTTTAGATATTTTATTTAGTTAGTACACAACATAAAAAATTAAGCGTTTTATTTAGTATACAACATAATTAAGAGCTCTATTGCATAATTCATAATCGCACATAGGATAATTATAATAAAAATATTTTTAAAATAAATTTTAAAAAGCTATTCTTTAGGGCATAAAGTTTTCCTAACTGTTACTTTTTTTGTAATTCTCTTTTTTTATTGCATCAAGATTAAGATACATATATAATAAAATTATAATTAATAAGTATGAATAATGAAATATAGGGATGTACCGATACCACTTTTTGGAGGCCGATCCGATCCGACATACACGATATTAAATTGATATCGGCCACGATCCGATATCATATCTAATTTTGTATTCTGTAAAGATACCAATTAATTTTTAATATACTTTTTATTAGTATTACATCTATAATTAAACTATAGCATAACTTATGTCATTTAAATATATTAAATGATTAAAGCGAAGGTCGCAAGTTCGAGACTCGTCTTGGCCACCACTATTTTAAAAGTCAAATATTAAATACTTTAAATGTCAAAACACTAAATATATTTTAAATGTTAATACTAAATATTAATGTAAAAATTATACTGTTTATAATTAATGTTTTTCAAAGTCAAATATGTTCATACTTGATACTTTTGTTCTATCTATTTTCCCTTTTTTACAAGAAACCAGAAATGAATGACTGAATTTAAAAAAAATATAAAAAAACGTAATAATAATAATTTATTTCTTTTTTCTCTCTCTATATATATATCTATTTAATTAATGCATAATAATAAACAAATAATAATAATTCTTTCTAATTTTAAAAATAGCAATTTTTTATAATATATCATAAATATGAATGCGCAAAAAAATTAAAAAATATAAATCACAAATAAAAATTGAAAGAATGAATGCGCAAAAAAAATCAAAAAAAAATATTAATCACAAATAACCCATTTATTATACAAAGTGACTCCTCGCTAACAAGATACACATAACACGCCCCCACTAATTGAAAACCCAACTTCGCATTTCACCTTTCACCCGGCATAATTCTCGTCGCTTTATGGTGTTTTCACGAATTTATACGGTTGTTAGTTTCTTGAGTTTCCTCCATTTATGTGTCGCTATTGTCGATTTCCCGTAGAAATTATCTCAGTTCGAACTGGCTTCATTTACCATTTGTACAATCCATTAACTATTTTGTCCCATCAACCATTATATGGTTGATTCCCTTATTATTATTATTATCAATCACCCCGCTATTTTTACTATTATTATCAATCACCTTAGTATTGAGCCTACCCCACCTCTGGTTTAACAGTCCCCTTCAATTTTTCCTGGATATATTGCGCACCATACTAAAATGAATGTTTCTTTACCATTACTTTTTGATCAAGTATATCCCCCTATTCATACTCCCGATCGTAACCTCCCAGGTTCCACGCCCCTCTTCAATTGATCCCTATGCCGTACTCCCTCTCTTCCGTCAATGAATTTCACTCGATTTAATTGTCCCATGCTCTCCACGATCACCCCAGATTCCCATTTCTTATTACTTCCAAATATCCTAGCCCATATTGCCTGCCCTACCTTAAATTCCGCTTCATTCCCGGCCTCAGACATCTTCTTTCCCTGTCTTGTCTGTTTCAGCGAATCCAACCAAATTCTAGTTCTCCGTCCTAAAACTTCTCCGCTGGAGGGCTTCTCTCCTTTTCTACTGTTGTTATAGTACGTCACGGCCACCCACAACTCTCCGCCTCCATTCTTTCACTTTCTCAACCAGTTCTTGACCACCGCTACCATCCTTTCCGCTTGTCCATTAGAACTCGGATGATACGGCGGCGATAAAATGTGTTTCGCTCCAGTTTCTGCACAAAAGATTTCGAATTGTCTACTAATGAAGGCAGGGCCCCCGTCCGTTACCACTGTCATAGCAACCCCAAATTTGGCCCATAAATTTTTTAATACTTTTATCACAATCTGTGTTGTTAATCCTCTTACTTCCTGATATTCCACCCATTTCGAAAAAGCATCTACCACTAATATATATATTTTATTTTCGAAGTCAAAGAAATCCAAATGGATGCGCTCCCAAGGCTGCGCTGTCTTCGGCCACACACTTTCTTTATCTTTTCGGGGCATCGGAGCCCAAGAATTACATCTAACACAGGTTCGACTGATATTTTCAATGACTAGGTTCATTCCTGTACATTCTTATCGCCTTTACTGCTTCTCTTAGTTTGATTGGTATAACACTCCTATTTCCTCGCACAAAACACTCATCTATTATCGCTAACTCCTTTTGTACATATTTATAGGTCCGGTCTCCCACCCACCACGTTTTCTGTCCCTTAAGGCACGCTTTGATCCGTCTCAATTCCTTATCTTTCAAAGTCACTCTTTTAATCTCTTCCCATGTTACCGGCCCGCCTCTAGACACTCCTGCCATAGGAATCAGTCCTTGTTCAATTTCTTCCGCCCGTTCTTGTTCTTTCTCCTCCACATCTTCCCCAGGTCCGCATCTGGATAAAATGTCTGGTAAATAATTTTCCCTCCCTCGTCGATATTTCACTTGGACATCAACTGCCTACTAGCAATAACCATCTTTGCAGCCTAGGCGATAGCATTAGTTCCTTGTTATCCTTCCGGAATAGATGCACCAACGGCTTGTGATCGGTGTAAAAATAAATCTGCACCCGATCAGATATTCACGGCACTTCGTTAACCCGAAAATAACGGTCAATGCTTCTTGCTCAATCACTGAAATACCTGGTCTCTGCCGCTCTAAAAATTCTTGAGAAAAATAACACCGGCCTTTTTACCCCATCAATAGAATGCAACAGCGCTCCTCCCACACCTTTATTGGATGCATCTACGGCCAATATCACTTCCAATTCATTATTGAAGCACACTAAAACGGGTACCTTTCCTATTTGACCTTTTAATTCTTCGAAGGACTCCTCTTGTTCATTTGTCCACTCAAATTTTCTCCCTTTCTTTAATAATTGATATAAGGGCGCTGCTATTTGAGAAAATCCTTCCACGAACCGATGATAATAATTTACCATCCCCAAAAATGCCTGGGTATTATCATATTATTAATTCCAGTCATATTTCTATCCACCTACCGCACCTCCTTTCCTGTGAGCCCCAGATAAGTCACTTCGGTCACCCCCAACATGCTCTTTTCCCCGCTGGCTCTCAATCCATTCTCCTTGATCCTTCAAAATACTTCCTCCAATCTCTGTTCATGTTGCTCGGGATTTTTCCCCGTCACCAAGACATCATCCATATAGTAGAAAACTCCCTCCATTCCCTGGAAAACCGCAGCCATCGTACGCTGAAATATGGGAGCTGAAACATTAAGTCCGAATGGTAATCTACAAAACGCAAAAAATCCTTTCGGAGTAGTAATCGTTAATAACTTCCTTACCTCCGGCCTTACTCGTAATTGCAGATATGCATTCGAGAAATCCACTTTTGAAAAATAAACACTTCCTTTTAGATTAGCCAGTATTTCTTCAATTTTTGGCAAGGGATATTTAACCTCCACTACCCACGGATTTACTGTAACTCGATAATCTACACATAAGCGAAGTTTCCCGTTGGCTTTTTTTCACAGGCACTAACGGAGTCGCCCATTCACTGTACTCCACCTGACATACAATACCTTTTCGTACCCATTGATTTAACTCCAATTCCACTTCCTTTCTCCATTCAAACGGTATCCTCCATAACGCACAAAACTTTGGAACGCAACCATCCTTTAATTTAATGTCTACTTCATAATCTCTGAGACATCCTAAGTCTTCATTGAAAATTTCCTGATAACTTTGTACTAATCTCCGTACTCCTTCTTGCACTCTGGTCATAGCCAATTTTCTCCCCTCGTCTTCTTTAATTCCCCCCTTTTCTTCACTGGACATAGTTTCCTTCGTCATTTCTCGATTTTCCTGATGGTGGTATTCATCACTTCTAGATTTTCTTTCTGTGATTCCTCCTTCCTTACCTTCACCTTTCCTTCCTCCTCCTTCCTCGTAATATCACGACCCCTTTCATTGACTCCAACGTACCCCGGGTAATTTCTACCTGCTCCGGCTTCTCCCCCGGAACTTTTTTCCTCCATTTTGCCTTTATGATTCTTCTTCCCTATTTCGCCCTTGGAGTTATTCTCTTTTACTTCTGTTATATCATTACTTTCCTTTATTTTGATCCTTGAATTATTTTCACTTATTCCGCTCCTTGAATTATCGCTCCTGGAATTATTTTTCCTTAGTTCGCTCCTTGAATTATTTTGACTTGTTTCGCTCCTTGCATTGTCGCTCTTTGAATTAACGCTCCTAGAGTTATTTCTCCTTGTTTCGCTCCTTGTAAGACTTTCGCGGTTTCCCTCATTCAACATAATCTCAATTCCAGGCAACACATTCTCTCTCAAGGCCATAACAGCATATTCCTCACTCGTTATTGGTACAAATATTCCCCACCATGAAAATACTCCCCAAAAACTATACCATGGACCAATTCTAGTGATCCAATCCCAACCCATCACAGCTTCTATATTCCGATTAACAATCCATAAATCTAATATTTCCACCCTTTCCTCCGATGTCGCCACTATCCCTACCCATGGCTGCCAACAAGGTTCCATCAAACTGCCTTATTCTCAACCCCTCATTCTCTATCCTTTCCCCAGGCCAAATATTTGATATCCATTATAACCAATTACCGAAATGGCAGCTCCTGTATCAAATAACATGGGAACCCTTCTTCCCCCCAAATTTATCATTACTCTAGGACAAGGATCATGGACTATCCCCTCTTGTAACATATTTACGCACCCCTCTTTATTTGGTTCGCTGATTAAATCCCTCCTCCGTACCCCCTAACCATATCACCCCGACCTGTACTGCAATTTTTTCACTATCATATAGTCACAAATTCTCACAATCCCTCGCCACATGCCCACCCTTTCGGCATCTAAAACATTCCATATTTTTCTCCCCTAACTCTCCGATATTATTTGTTCGCCCCTCTTCCCCTCTCTCCCGCTCAATAGTCCTCACATTTAAAGCATTTGGACTCATACCTCTCTGTGGGAAACCCCCTTTGTTATTGTAATATTGTAATTGTTCGTATTACATTCCTCCTTATTATGCCCAAACCTACCACAACCAGCACAACTTAATCTCTCTTGTCTACCCGGACAATAAGGGGCTAAATGTCCTAATTTTCCACAACCGAAACACTTCGCCTCCCGGCAATCTCTGAGCATATGACCCAGTTTACCGCAATTATAACAACTAATTACCCCTCTTCCCCGAGAATTTTCTCTGGGCTCTCTATACGGGCGCAACACTTGATTATTTCCAAAATTTTGTTTCTCAGAGCCATATACATTACTATTTATATTGCTATCCGTCCACCCTTTAATTAACTCCTGAACCGGTAACCAAGTAACCTTACCCAATATCCTCCTCTACATTATGTCCCTCAATGGTCAAAGTTTGTCCTTTAATTTTAACGCTGCAACTCCTTCTCATTCTCCTGCCCCAAACTAAACTACATATCCATATTAATAGTATAACCAACGCTCCAAAAATATTATACTGAACCTCCCAGTATTTAACAAATTTTACTTTTCATCATGGCGTTATAAAAAATTTATGATCAATTTCAAAATAAAAATCTTGGTTATCTGTAATGTCAACAAGTAAGATATTATAAGTAACGTAAATAAGCCAATGATGCACATATACATGCACACTTAATAGGTCAATTGATGACAAAATTCTTGTAAATTTCTTGTAACAGATTTATGTTTAAAAATATTTGGGCAGCACTTCCTACAATTTTTGATAAATATCATTATATTTGCAAAATTTTTGGCAGCACTTCCGTGTATATTACGTAAGCCTGAAGATTTTGTTCATAGAAGGAACAATGATCTAGACATATATTATCGAAATTTCGAAGCTCAGGCAATATTTTTTCTGACTAAAATATTGAGTTAGCCGTTTTTAAAAATCGGCCCAAAACGAGTCATTTAACAATAGTTTATAGTTTATATTCAATTCAATTGCAATTTTAAAAGTATATAAAATATTTTTATTGTTAAATCACTTTTATATAATAAGTAATAAGCTATATATATAATAAGTAATAAACAAATATATTATGAAATTTGAAATAAATATTTAAAATAATATTTAACATTAGTATATCGAAAATTTCTTCTTAGAAATACCAAAATTTCCAATTTACCAGAGGTCAGCCTGCAGCGATGGAACTGTCAATATCACCAGCTTCACTAAAAACAGATTCTGAAGAGATTATCGCACACTTTTATAAACAGAATGCGCAAAAAAATAATGGCAGAATGTTTATTAATTAATTATTATTATTAAAAGAATATATATAAAAACGGATTTCGATTTTATTTATAAAAATAAATGATTTTAGACAACTTTTTTTTAAAATTTTATAACATTTTATTTTTGTTAAAGACGCCCTTTTATATCGGATCGGAAAATTTTATAATATTGGCACATAACCGATATTTTAAAATGGGTGAAATATCGGGCCGATCCGATTTGATAAAAAATATCGGTAAATCCCTAATGAAATATAATATAAGTTAAGGTAAAATAATAAGATACCAAATGTTAAAATATTCAATTTGAATAAGGAAACAATAAAGTTATTTGGCAAAATTATAAAACTTAAATACAATTTTTGGCTAAGAGGTTTTTATCAAAAGAAATAAAGAAAATTATATAAAATGTATGCAAAATATTTTCTAAAAGAAACCATATTGTTACGCTTTAAAGGATAAATTAAAAAAATTATTATAATTTGGTCTTTGGAATATTTATTTAACAATATTTGAAATGTTTTAATTTAGTTTTTAGGAAATTTAAAACAAGTCACTATAAAAATAAATATAAAAAAATCAATAAATAGAAATACTGCAAGTACAAGAAATAAAATATTTTACCGGCATATTTTGAATAATATGTAGGGTTTATAGTGATCTGCATCAGGTCTAATTTTTCAAGCTCGGTCTGGCCCGACATTTTTAAAAAAAGCATTGTCGGCCCGAACCTTATTTTTTTTATTTGTCCACCTGGCCCGAATTAAATATAGAAATTAATTTTTTTTTAAATTATCATACCCAAAATAAAAGATATATAAGTTTTTGAAAAAATTTAAAAGTTGAATCAAATTATGCTTAAAATAAAAGATAAATGTTATATGGCGTTTAGTTTCTATAAATAAAATTAAATATTTATATTTTAAATAAAAAATATTGGTGCCCTTTTTGATATAATAATAGATTTAGATATATTTTAAAAAAATCAAGGCCCAAACCGACCAGGATTTTAAAAAAAATATATATTAGACCCGATACTGCCCGAACTTTTACTAAAAAATAGACCCGGGGCTGGGTTCAAGCCGGGCCTACTCTTGCAGATCTCTAGGTATACCCGTTTTCTGAAGGTGAATAAGATACCCAAGGCCACTCAAAAAGCTAGCAGGATCAAAAATGGATTTTTTAAAGATGGGTAAATTAAAATTTTAAATATGGTGGGCATATCGTTGGTCACATTGCAAAACCTCAGAAAAGATCTTTTAAAATTGTTCAGGAGAGACAAAAAACATTTTTGAAAAAAATGATTTGATAAAAAATATGTTTCTAATAAATATTTTATATCTTATGTGTATGGCTCTTAATAATTTTTTCATGAATGATTTGACAAGGATAATAAAATCAGTTATCGAAATATCTCAAAAATGAAAATTATACAAATTGCTGAATTACCATATATACAAAAATGAATATATTTTATTGAAATAGAGACGTTTTTGGAAGTGCTTCAATGTGCCACAATATGATAAAAAAAATGTTTTTAATAAAAAAGATTTCAAATCTAACAGTATAAAAAACGTCATTTGGGTTTTGCATGAATCTACGATATGCAACACTGATGTTCTTGTGCCCACTATTCTATAATAAAAATAATGATAATCGTGTACCCTATTTATTTTTACCTTACCTTTATAAAATATATTTATTCTAAAACAAAATTATTTTAAAAACGAAAATAAAAATTTACACCATTTTGATTAGAAATGATCGCTTGATCATCGTCCCGATGGTACTCGATGAAAGATGCGTTACTTACAAGGTTGTTTAAGTAATCCCTGGAAGGGCAGTCAACGATAGCGAATTTGAAACCTGGTTGATCTATTCCTTTAACGTCAGCAGATTTTACCTGTAATATAAAACAAATAAATTTGGTATTTATGAATCATGTGTAAATCAATTATTTATCTAATAGTAAAAAAAGTTCTTTATTATTAAAAGCTTATATTTTCCTTTTAGTGGATTTAATTATTTGTTTTCTTCACTTATTACAACTGGTTACAAATGATAAGACCAAGAAAGAACCAAACCAAAGAATAACTTATAATTTCTTTAACACTGGTGATGTAAGTTAGCGTGTCTATTATGTTTGATGACTTTAGCTATTTATTTATTAGTTGTGATATGATTAAATATAAACTATGCCATGTTTAATCATCGATTGAAATTTAATCGTAATTTGTAAATAAATTTTTACCATTTTAAAGACATAGATGTTTTTATAAATTTGGATATTTATTAGACTGGGATTTTTTTCATTCCGTTCAAAGTTTTCTTTATGATTATTAATGTACTTATGGATTGATACTACCATGCATTGTCTTACATGCATTATTTTATATATTTTAGAAATTTCTGACATTTTAATATACTGGAAATTTAATCAAGAGAAAATTTTTAAAAAAAACCAGTGTCCTGGACCTAACCTGAACCGGGGACTCTTTTTACACAAGTCTCTACTCAAACTGGACCTGAAAATATTTAAATATATGAATATTCAGCTGATTTTTCTTTTGAATTTATGTTCATACTGGGTCAAGAATTTTAGTAATTTATGATTGATTTTTTATAAAAATAAAAAATATTAGGTTACTTCCAAAATTGATTTTTGTTTTTACGTCTATGGTATTAAGAAATAACTGTTAACTTGATTACCGCGTTTTTCAGATTTTTTAAAACTTTTAGAAATAATATAAAAAAATTTACAAAAAATAAAAAACAACGTTCTATTTGATCGATAGTTTAAACAATCTAATTTACTAATAATTTATATTTAAACTGGACCTAGGCTGAAGCCAAGACCGACCAGGTCTTATTCGATTTGGCTGGATAGAACCCATTTCCCATTTTTCAAAATATTTTCGGTCTTAAAGAGTGTTTTTTCAAATTGAATAATTTTATTGATTGAAAAATAATCTAGTGAGTGTATAATTTCAGGAATTTTTAAAAGATATTTTTTATAGGTATCTTGATACAGACATATTTTTAAAGTTTATCTGAATGCAGATACAATTTTATCATATTTACATACAGGGTTCGCCGTCTCTTATTTAGAGCACAAAATATGTAAACGAGATAATAATAAAAAAAATGTCAATACTCCTATTTTATAATTCTTTCGAGCAAATTCTCCTTTAAAGCAAGCATTTATAAAAAAATGTTTACATTGAACTTGTAATTTATTCATTAAAAGTCAGGGGAGAATTTATAAAATTATTTTAAAAAATTCGAAATAAATTTATTTCCTTAAAATAATCTTAAATGGTATTGTTTTTTTAATAATTAATGGGCATCCTAAGCAAGGATTTCTATTCCTTAAAAATATCCTTCATAATCTTGAACTGATATCTATAGATTTAAATGGGGAAAAAATAAATATTGACATATTTTTCCAGGGTTCTGGACCAAACCCGAACCCAGTGCTCTACCCAAACTAAACCCGGAAATATTTAGAATTATGAACCTAGACCCGAACCCATTTTTTCTAAACCCGAGTCCAGAATCGCGTTCAGGAATCTTTTTTTATACCTTATGAATAATTTAATTCCTTAAATAAATTAATTATCTCGATTTTCCTGGAGCATGCATAAAAATTTTAGGCTATTACAAACAAATGGGATGATATACTTATTATTATTACAATTTTAAATGTAATAGAAATCGCCACTAAATCATTTCAAACAGAACAATTGACCCTACCTGACTTATATTGTTAATGGATTAAATGCTGTCTCGACTTGGAACGCATTCTAGCCATTTTAAAGTAATCCACTTATTTTGTTTAAGGGCTATAAATTTAATGAAGTTTTATACTTTGTACTTCTTCTGGACCCAAAATTTTCAATAATCTGGATAGATGATGAAAAGATAACGGTATTTAATTATTTTGTGAATAGATTTACTCTTTTGAACGTTGATAATATTTATCCAGTTAGTGCATCTGATTCATCTACAAATGATGATGAATAAAAAAATTTAGGAACCAAAGAAAAACAACAAAGTAGATATCAATTATGTCAAACACTTGTTGAAAAAAGTATAGGAACTCTGTATGGATATACAAATCAGGGACGGGAACCTTCCTTCTAAAAAAATGGGTTCGGGTTTGGGTTCAGTGAAAAATCTCTGAACCCGAAAATAATGACTTATTAAAATTAGTTAAAATAATTATCATTTTTTTTTTAATTTATTTTAATTGATTTAAAATTTTTTACGAAAAATGGCCGACTCTTAAATATAAAAAAAAAATTTTTTTTAAATATGAACTCTGGAAATCTTTTATAAATATAAATCGTAAATTACATGTTTTTTTATATCTTTTTTAACATAATTTTAAAAAAGGAAAATGAAAGTTTTAAATAAAAAATATAAATTTTTAAAAAATTAAAAAAATAGGTTTGAACCCTGAACCCTAAATTTTAAAAAAGGGTTTGGGTTCAGCGAAATATCGAGGGTTCAGGGTTTGGGTTCCCGTCCCTGATAAAAATATTAGATAAAAATCTTGAATTACTGTAATAAAAATAAGTCATAACTGATATGTATACTATAATAATCCAACATTTATTAGTATTTTATATTTAGGTGAGTGTTAAAAGATGCCTTTTCCGTCTAAAGTTTATACTATCTGATAATCGAGCACGACTGTAAGAAGACACTTAAGATATTTTAATGAGAACCAATTTTCAAAATTTAAATTAACCCTTAATTCTGTTAAGATTTAGATAATTTTTTTTAAAGGTTTTTTTAAAAAAAATGAAATGAATAAAATTTTGTTAAAATATATTTTTCTTATATAATATTGATATATTTTCTTAAAAAATTATGAATCTGGACCAAACCGGGACCTGGGTTTGGCCTATTGAACCTGCCCAACTTTTTAAAATTTCGAATGAACCCAGGGCTGGACTGAACTCAGTAGAAAATTTTGACGGGTCCAAAACCCTGTATTTTTTTATATATTTATGCTCATAGAAAATGGAATAAATTTTGCATTCTAATATTTTCATTTTTAATATAAAAATGTGTTAAATAAAAGTTTATCAAAATGTACATCTAAAAACAGATATAGATACCTCTAATATAGTATTTAAATACAGATCCTTTTTATAAAAATAAGTGCTGGCAGCAGAAACCATATTGGCCAATATACTTTAATAAAGGAATGGTGATCGTGTACTTATTAAAAAGTAATTTAATAAAATGCACTATTTATTTATTTTTAAACTTATAATTTTCATTTTACAATGGATGGCAAAAAAAGAACCTACTTTTCTTTATAAGATTGGTAGTGATTAACATAATATATGAAAGTTTTAACAGTACAATCTATCATATACAAAGTCAGAGTCTCTGGTACAAATTGTATTATTTAATTTGCCCTCATTCTTTTTTGTAATCGAAGATAAATAAGATTTAATGTGATTTACAATGGTTCCATCTTCCAATACGACATCCAAACCATTTTTCAAATTACCCAATAAATAACTGTTGGCAGGAACTTTGCATTTCAAACACTTGACAATATCTAACATTCCTGGCTTGGTATGAAGCTTCAAATTATATTATTTAATTTATATATATATATTTGGTATACAATAAAGTAAAGTACAGAGATATATCGTTACATTTTTTTTTATGATAACAGGAATTTTGATAAAATATCATCATCATCCAATAACAATTAGATATTCCAAAAATGATATAAAATCATCATTATATGTAAAGTTTATAAAAAAAGGAGTATATAATATAATTTATCACTAATATTTTTTTAGTGTTCTCTATTTATTATGTGATAAAAAGAATATATTTAAAAAGTCATGAGGTGAGATAGTTTCCATAACAACTTTTAATATTTTTTATTTAATTTCTGAGGGTTAATAATCATTTTTGACTATTGGTTAAAAGAAATTTTAAATCCCTCCATCACTGCTATTTTATAAAATAATATCATAAAAAAGTTTCAAGATAGAATATCGATATATTTTATATATTAATAGCATGTATGATAAAAATATTATTACTTGCCCAATGTAAGCTATGACAGTGTCTCTGTCAGTGGGTTTGGTGGACATTCTCTTAGGGGCATTTGACTTCATTTCTAAAATAAAGAGTAGTGATAAATAATATATTCATTTTGTGGATTATCATTTTAGAAAATGCAAAATAAATACTTAATAGTATTATAATTACCACTGGATATTTCAGTCTCTGATTGTGAATTGTCAGATGAAGAATAATCAATAGTTTTTATAAGAGAATTAGGATTATCATTAAATATTGGAATGTATTCAATTTTTAGGCATCCATCATCATAATAATGTTTGTGATAATCATATTTCTCTGCAATATTTAAAGATTGTAATATTATTGTTTTTAGATACCGATTTCTATATTTGTAGTTTCCATAAATCCTTTTGTCATGATAAAAAGATTTTCAACTTTGGGAGGACCATGCAATACAACTTTATTAATGCCTATATCTCTCAAACACAGTAAAATTCCAGGTAATCCTCCCATGTTATCCCAAGAAGAGTGGGTTATAAATATTCCTGATAATTTTGACAATTTGCATTTATGTTCAATAATTAATCTTTGAGCTCCTTCACCAATATTAAATAGATATCTTAATCAAATATCATAAAAAATTGATTCACTATTTAATACCTGTAGGAATTAGTAAATAGATGTATACTTTTAGGAGAACCTCTAGAACCATTTCCTATAACTTGAAAATAGGCTAAAGTTGGAATCAATGCTACATTATCAACTGAATTAGATTTGAATTTTTTTTTAGTAGTAGTTTTCATTTCACCTAATATATTAGATATATATCTAGTGCCTATTTTTGAGGAAACGACTCTAATTTTAAAAATTATTTGATAATTTTTCGAAAAATTCATTCACATTGGTAGCCGCACCCATGTGCCCCCATTTATGGTGCAAATAAAATAGTTATATATAGTGCTGTAAAGTAAGGTCAAAAATGTAACGTCGTTACCTTTTTTAAAGAAAAGGAATGCCATTCGTTACCTTTTTTAGAGGGCGCGTTTCTTTTTTTTTGAGTAACGGTAACGCAAAACGTTACTGGATATTTAAAATTTTTTCTTAAAAAATATTTAAAAAAGAAAAACATATTTTATTGTAGAATAAAATTATCTTTATTTATTGTTTAATATAAATAATTTAAGCCGAGTTTTTAATTCATATCATCCACCATTCCTTTATCTTTATTTTAAATTCTCGTTGTTAAATTTTCAGTCGAATGTTAATCTAATTAATATTCAATCAAAATTCAAAGTAAATGTTAATAATAATATCATTATTCTATTTTATAATTTATTTTGAGAATATTATGTTCATAGTACTTACTTCTTCAGATGAAGATGATTTAACCCTTCCCTGGCCCCAATTTGAGGCTACACTTTGTAAATGTTAATTATGTCCCAACGCAAATATTTCATTTCAACCTCAATGTCCAGCAGTTCAAACTATGAAGGTAAAAAGATGAATTGATATATTATTATTTTAAACATTAATAATAGAATATTAATTCATGGGTATTATAAAAGAAAAGAAGTATTCATTCATGATATTTTTGAAGCTTAATCATGACATTAAAATATAAGCAATTAAATTATGGCTGGGAACCAACATTAAAAACTCAAGATTAACAAAATATTGGTATTGGTTTAATTATATTTGGTTCAAACAATATCTTCTATTTCTTATTTTAGTATGTTATTGGTTAAACTTCAAATTGTTATAGATTAAAAGAATAAAATAGTTATAAAAAACTTTGTTTAAATAAATATGTATTTTAAATAAATATATATATAGAATAAAACTATGGAGCAATATTGTTTTAGAGAACTGAACCTAGATATTTTTCCTGCCTTTTATTATATTTCTGAATAAGAAATTGAAAAATTATCTTTGGCAATCATAATTTCAATTTTTAATGTTATCATTGACAATATTTCTTTAAACGAAAAAACAGAAAATGAAACAACCGTGAAACATTTAGAAAGGCAAAGAGGTAGGAAAACATAGGAAAACAAACAGAGGCTGAGATATGCTGACCATGACGAAAGACAAAATTTACAATCTAATTACGATAACAGACAACGATGAAAACAAGAGGCCATGACTTTCAAAGAAAAATATCAAGGAAATAGTTACAACCCTAGATATCAGAACTATAATTCGAGTTATTACAACAACGTCAGGGCACGCTACTCAGGTTCACACAATAATTTTTCAAGATTTGATAATAGAACTAGTTATAATAACAATAACTATAATAACCATAGATTTAATAATGATTAAAATTACAGATATAACAGACATTATAAAAATTCAAGATTTATTCAAAGACATAACAATAATCATAATATTGGAAATCAAGGAAGAAATCAAGTATGCAATTGTAGATATCATAACTAAGATAATAATCAATCACGATACACAAACAAAGTAAACACTGTAAATATAGAAGAGATAAAAGAAGATGGTAATGATAAATTCGAGAAAAAACAATATAATTTATTTAATTTGGACATAAACAATATGGATGCCGATAATGATACATAGCTAATGATGCATATAAAGTTACAGTATATTTGAATGACGTGCCAATACTGATGCAAATAGGTACCAGTTCTAGATTCAGAATCCTGCCGATACATATTGCAAGAAAGATTGGAATAAAAAATCTTAGATAAATCAGATACAACATTAACTGGATACGATGGAAAAATGATAAAAGTATTAGGTACTGTCCAAGTCAAGGCATTCGAGGACAAAACACAAATCTTAAATGCTTATGTGGTCCAAAGTGACAAGATTACACTTTTGGGAAGGAGCTGAATAACAGTTTTTAGAATTATTTTAGATAAATTTGTGAATCTTATTGAGGAAGATTATGATAATACTATACAATAATTAATACCACAAACGAATACAGAAGAGATGGTACAAAAGATATGGTGAAATAATTGATGACAAATTTTGGGACATACCGATAATTTTTAATAGAATAGTTAAAGAAACTAGTATTGATAAAGAATTAATGGAAGTAATTAACAATATAAAGAATCATGAACAGATAAAGATAAAACATATAAAAATATGGAGTTAGAACTAATTAAAGATTGTCTTTTAAAAGAAAATAGGATTATAATACCATAAAATATGAGAAAAGAGATGTTGCAAGAGTTGCATAAAGGACATCTAGGTAATGGAAAACGAAATCATTGCGAGAGATTATTCGTGGTGGCCTGGTTTAAATGCAGAAATAGATCGGGAGGTAAAAAATTGTGATGCATGTAATAAATATGCAGACAATCCTCATAATATACAAAACCCATGGGAAACAATAACAAAAATATTCTAACGCGTGCACATAGACTTTGCGCAATTTGAAGATAGCAATTTTTTGGAATGTGTTGACGCATTTAGCAAATTCCCTATTATTAGAAGAATGAGAAACATAACAACTGAATTAACAATTAAAGAATTGATGAAAATAATCAGCTTATTTGGTATACCTGAAAAAATAGTCAGTGATTATGGAACTAACTTTACTAGTAGCTTATTCAAGAAATTTTGCCAAGATCAAAGAATTGAACACATACTCACCTCACCACCAACAGTCCAATGGTCAGTGTGAGCGAATGATAAGATCAATGATAATGAGCATGAAAAGGAATATGGAAAGTAAAAATAAAATAGACTTAGATATAGCATTAGAAAAGTTCTTATTTAATTATCGTAACACACCAAACGCAAAAACCAACAAGATACCAAGCGATGTTTTCCAGAACTATAAGAACCAGATGGGATTTAAACAAGAAGATAAAGTGAATGAATTTAATAGAAATATATCGTCAAATAGAAATAACGTTAGGGGTGACAAAGTTTGTTATAAAACTTTCAAGGAAAACATTTGGACACAAATACGGTAACGCGTAAAGATGGGAATTTATTATATGAAATGAATACTAGAAACAAAATTATAAAAAGACATTTAGACCAGATTAAATAAAGGTCAACGAATATTATATCTCTTAATAATGGTAAAACATATTTGAAAACAAATGTTAATAATACAATACCTATACTTTAATTAGATATTTTCTTTTAATTCTAACTCCTCAAAATCATCTCTTAAAGTAAGAACTTCTGCTAATGTAATGTTATCTTTTAACGTAATTTTCTGCCTAATATTTTTTCTAATTGACGAAATTTTTATTTTTTCAATAACTCTACTATCATCTAGAAAACACTCATTTTTTAAAATGCATAATCTACTTACTCAATTGATGTAACTTTCATTTTTACTTTGTCTAGCTGCGTTAAATAATAATAAGTTCGAACTTGTAGATTTCCTTGGGTGTAATAACCTGAATTTTTTAATCAATATTTATGAATTGATGAAGTCGGTAGGTGAACATATCGATTTGAGCTTGATACCTTCTTAGTCTGGTAGTCTTCTTGTGAAGGATCCAGCTTTTTCGATGTCCGATATCGCTTCCAAAACTTCAAAATATTGTCTTGTTATTTATCTTATATGAATCTTTTAAGTTCATCCTCACAGTTTTCATCGGTGATGTTGATGCTTCATCAGAATCATCTAGAAATATACGGTCTTTTATGAGTGTAGATTGAATTAGGAAAGTGATAGTTGGTATTGATCATTTAGAATATACGGGTTTTTATGTATCTAGGATAAGTTAGGAAAGTTATAAATGGTAGTTGGCATCGACTTATGCATATCATCTAATTTTATATCATTTAGCATTTTAAAGATTGTTATATATATATCATTTTCTTCTTTTATTAAAAACTTAAGTCTTTTGAAATTCGGATCTAGAATTAAGCCTACTATAGTGGCTGCATAATAATATTTTAAATTAAATCTTGTTCTGTATTTTAAGGTTTTGATTATTATTGTATCACGTTCAGAAGGTTAACAAAATTTTATTAATTTTTGTTTCCAACAAACTTTTTGTGGGACGAGAATCTGCTCTCAGATTATCCAAGCATTCTTTAAATATTGATAAAAATATAACTAACTCGCGTATGCTGCTGATATCAATTGTGGCTAATCTATTTAATTCTTGCTTGCTAAACAAGTACACCTGTATTTCAGAATATGATTTTAAGAAACTCTGTATCATACAGAGTTCCATCTCGTTATTTTCTATTACATCTTGTTGATGTGGCTTAGTTTGCTATTAGCTATAGATTGTAATATTGTACTATTTTTATTTACCCCATTTATATTTAAGGCTATTTCAGTTAAACAATTGTCAAAAATATAATGCATAATATTGTTGCAGGTGGCTGCAAGCTTGAGTTGAAATTAGTATAGGAGTTGATTAAATTATTATCGATGTTAACTAAAACTCTTAATTAGAATTATTATTATATTGGAATCTAAATAAAGAAAGAATAAAATATATTTAAATAAATTAGGATAAACAATATATAATATAACAAAGAATAAAAAAAACTTTACGACTATAGAAAATCACTTTATTCGATAAAGAATCCAAATTATATTTAAAAAATTTAATAATAATATTATGTATCTTATTTCACTTTTTAACGCGATATATATAATAATTGTTTTACAATTAATTTGAATATATGAAAATATATAAAATAATATTATGTTAATTTTTAAGTTCATTTACAAAAAATAATTCCCCCCAAAAAATATTATATTCGTTTTCAGTTTATTTATGAATAATAACTTCCAAAAATTAACATTCTAATTTCTCAAAATGTATTTGCATATACAACAAATATTATTTAGTATATGACATATACATGCTAGCGTTTCGTCATCTTTGAATGCACTTATAAGATTTGCTCCGTTATCACTCACAACTATACATTTATTTAAGTAATTTT